TTCATATTTTTTGCAAGCATATTTCTATCCCTCTTTGTGAACCAAGAGTTTTCTTGTGATTTGCAGAGAGGGTGAATAAACTGATTCCGGCCAGTTACTTTTAATGATGAGCTTTAAATTAACTGTCTGCCTTTGTTTTTATTTCATCTGCATTTGACTTCCTTCTTTTTCTTTGTTTTTGCAGGTGAAAATCAATTGAGCAATGGGGAGCAGCAGTAGAAGATGAAGACTTAGGATAATTTTAGGATGTAGCTTTATTTCATTTTAATTATTTGTAATAACATTATTTGTAAATACTGTAAATGTATTCAAATAACATTTGTACTTAATAATTAAAAGTAAATAAAAGCTCTTTTGTCAATTAATCCTTTTTAATTCTTCTTCAATTGTTTATTTAATTATTTATAATTCTTAAATTATAATAAATGAAAATAAATCCCAACTATTCTAACTTAGAATAAATAATTAATTAATAAACACTGTTGTCTCGCCACTTAGCATTAATCAATAATAAACCCGACGCTCCAATTAACCATAGCAATGCACAGTCAATCAAACCAACATCCATATGCTTATCCCTTTTTTTTATTAAATCAAACACTGCAAATTCTAAATTCAAATGCCTCAGCTCATATCTCAGAGTAAATTGAAAAGAACTATAGAATTAATTCTTTCCGAGAATGCGCGCACAAACCCTGATTCTTGATTTAATGTCAAAGAAGCGCCTTCCTGATCAAACCCTGAGCCAAACTCAATCAAACCCTAATAATCTACTTGAACTGTTCCAGAGTCAAATGGAAACCCTAATTTTGTTTGACTGACGAAAAGAGTCTGTTTTGACCGATTCTTAGGCCAATCTAAAAAATCAGGAAAAGCCCGAAGCTGTGATTTCTTGTGGAAAAAGAGGAGGGCAAATTTTGGGGTACAACACCTAGCTTGAGTCATCTAATGCTATTTGGATCTACAAATAGACATATTCCAGATCCGTTGAGAAGAAAACTTGAAGACAAGTCAAGTCAAATGATCCTAATAGAATATCATTCGACTAGTAGATACAAGTTATTCAATCCAGTGAACAAGCAAGTAGTGATCAACAGGGACGTGATCATAGATGAGATTAAGGAATGAGATTGGACTGAAAATGTGAAGAAGGATTCAGTAAGAATCTCATGTGAAGAAGCAACAACTGAAGTCGAAAGAGAAGAAGTTTGACAGGAAGAAGTCAGAGGTGAACCAGGCCCAAACAAACCTCAAAGGAGAAGACACGTGCCTGCAAAGTTGCAAAAATGTTTGATTACTTCAAATGACGTGGTCGATAATGAAGGTGAGCTGGTCCATCATGCTTTCTATGCAGACGTCCAACCAATCAATGCAATTGAGGCATTGAATGATTCAAAGTGGATAAAAGCAATGAATGAGGAACTGAAGTCCATCAAAGTCAACAACATTTGGTCACTTGTCAGATTGCCTCAAGGAAAGAAGGTAATTGATGTGAATGGGTATAAAAGGTGAAGATGAATCCCAAATGGGAAGTAACTCAACACAAGGCTAGACTTGTGGCGAAAGGATTTTTTCAGAAAGAAGAAATCGACTTTGATGAAAGTTTTGCACCTGTTGCTAGGATTAAAATAATCAGGTTGGTTGTTGACTAGAAAACATGAAGAATTGGCACATATGTCATATGAATGTGAAATGGGGATTCCTAAATGGCCCCTTAGACAAAGAAGTTTATGTGGCATAACCAGTTGGGTTTGTGAAACAAGGCAAAGAAAGAAAGGTGTATAGGCTACATAAATCCCTGTATGGACTTAAACAAGCTCCAAGAGCTTGGAATAAGAATACTGATAGTTTCCTAATGGAGAAGGAATTTGTGAAGTGTACAACTGAGCATGGAGTATATGTAAGAAGAAGAAAGAGTGAATTGCTTATACTATGTCTTTATGTCGTTGACAGGTAGCTGCAAGAAATAAATCAAAGACTTCAAAAGTGATCTTAGAAAGGAATTCGAAATGACTGATTTGGACGTCATTTCATATTTCATTGGCATAAAATTTTACAAGAGAAGTAGAGGATTGATGATGCATCAAAGAAGATATGTAAGTGAAATACTCAAAATATTTGAGATTAAAGACTGTAATTTAACTTCAATACTTGCTGGACCAAGACTGCAACTGTCAAAAAACTCAGGCGAAGATGATGTTGACCCAACATAGTATATAATACTTATTGGGTCATTAAAATACCTTTGTCACAAGAGTCCCGATCTAGCATGCAATATAGGTATAATGAGTAGATTCACACAAAAGCCAAAGGTATCACATCTAGCAACGACGCAGAGGATACTAAGGTATCTTAAAGGAACTCTCGATTATGGTATTTTGTTTCCTACTGCTGGTGAAGGAAAATAATGTCAACTAGAGGGATACACCAACTCAAATTAGGGTAGTGATGTTGAGGACCGAAAATCCACAATTGGTTATGTGTTTATGCTAGGTGGTGCACCAGTTGCTTAGAGTTCGAGAAAAGAACCAGTTATGGCACTATCATCGCGTGAAGCAGAGTACATAGCCGCCTCTCCCTGTACATGTTAAGCAACATGAATGGTGAACTTGGTCGAAAAAATAACAGAGAAAGATCATGGAGCAATTACCATGAAGATCGAGAACATGTCAACTATCAATCTGGAGAAGAATCTGATAACACATGGATGAAGCAAGCACATCGAAATGAGGTTCCATTATCTTCGAGAGCAAGTAACAAATGTGAAATTGAACTTGAAATATATCAGAACTGAGAATCAGATTGCAGACATCATGACGAAAGAAGTGCAGGTCGAAGTGTTCAAGAAATTAAGATCTATGATGAATGTAGATATCTTTAGACATAATGAATTAGGTTGTGTGTTGAGATTGTAATTTCTTGTGTTGAAGCAGGTTGCTCGACGGAAACAAGGTCATGTCGATTAGCCTAGTGTGTGTGTGTGTGTGTGTCGAATTTGTGTGTGTTGGATTATCGAAGGAGTTGCCTCGACAAGATTTAGACTTAGACCTATTTTTGTATTTAACAAAATTAGGTTGGCTTAAGGAGCAAGCAAACCTAAAACTGTAAATGGGGAGTAATCCATGTTATTGTAAAATACCAATGCAATTGTATATTTTGAGAATAACATTCAATTTGAATAGCAGAGAGAAGCTTTGTAGATAATTCTTCTTCTTCCCTTATTTTTTTCGTAAACTCTAATTCTCTTTCTTCAAATTCATCTTTTCTTTTTTTCTCAATTTAACAATTGTGCAGCAAAATCATCTTGTAATCAAGATTGATTGATTCACTTGAATGAAGAATGAAGAACAAGAGAGAATTCAATTGATAGATCGAATCTTGTTCATTAAAATTGATTCAGAACTTTCCATATATTTAATGTAAATTTAATATTTATAAATTACTTATCATCTAATCGTTATTTTTATCAAATAAAAAATATATTTTAAAATATATTTAATATTTTTAAAATTTTTAAAAACAATATACTATATTAATATATAAAATCATATTATTTTTAATTTATTTTTTAAAACATCAAACATACTTTAAATTATAAACCCGATCCTCTAAAACTTTGTTCAGTGTTTTAAAAAATCAACTCCGAATTACACACATTATAATTTTAACAAATGAAATCATTCTTGCACAGAAATCAAGACAAAATAAATTATTAAGAAAATAAAACTTGTTCAGTTATGTCATACATATGTTGTTGTAAGAAAGTGTGTCAAAGTATCATTTTCCTATAATCATACATATATAGTAGGAGTATTTATCATCAAGAAGTAGTCTTTTATTTCTTTGCTTTTTCCTCTATGCAATACTAAATAAAAGAGAGATATACAAATCCATCCCACATAAATAATAATGTGACTATGGTATAGAATTGGAAATTTTCATTGGTCTCTAAGAATATATCATAAAAACAGATAAGTTAGAATTAATCATAAAAAAAGATAAGTTAGAATTAAATGAGACTAAAAATGCTTGTGGACGAATTTTTCACATAACTAATTCATATTTAATTTATAACAATTTTCTATAATCGGTTATTATAACTAATTTATATAAATGATTATATTTTATATAATTATTTATAAAATTAATTTATCCATAATCAAATTTGATAATCAATTATATATTTCATAATCAATTTTAAAATTTATAATAAATTTTAATTTATATCAATTCAAACTTATGTCGATTTTAAAATTCTTTTTTTTAATATTAACTTAAAATTTGTATTTTTTGTTCCTAAATACAAAAAAATTGAATTTTTTTTATTTATGAAAAAAAAGACAATTTTTCATATTTTAAAAAATATTGATTTTTTTTTTGTATTTTTTGAAAAAATTCGATTTTTTCGTATTTCTGAAAAAATTTGATTTTTTTTTCGAATTTTTTGTATTTTAGAAAAATTTAATTTTTTTTCATATTTCTGAAAAAATTTAATTTTTTTATATTTTTAACAAAAATTTTCGTATTTTCGAAAAAATTTAATTTTCTCATATTTTTGAAAAAAAATTTAATTTTTATTTTTAATATGAATATCCAAAATATAAATATAATTAAAAATCATATTAATAAAATATTTAAAATAAATTTAATTAAAATCATATTTTTCATAACCGAATTTAGATATGAATACCTATCATTTATATAACCGGTGTTTTCATGAGACAAGGATCCGGTCGTTTCATTTCACATGATCACAAATAAACAATCTATAACAATGAAGCACGTGGCAAATTTCCAAGCAAAACGTGGCAAAACAATTATTCGTGGCGACCAACATGTTTGCCACCTTTTACTTCAAACATACGTTCATCGAAAAACGGTGACAAACCGTTCACTTTATAAACCGATAAAGTTTCATCTCCATAACAGAAAAAAAAACACACACTAGAGATCAAACATAAACAAACAAACTCGAAGATTGAAGAAAAATTATTATTAACATGGCAGCAATGTTCATCACCAGAAACACTCTCTTCCGCTTCTCAAAGTCTTTTCCTAATGTCCCTTCACTCTCTCTTCCCAAATCCTCAAGAGTCTTCGTCGCTTCTGCTTCTCACCAATCCGATGTAAGATAGTGGTTGCAGACACAGTAATATAGGATTTTAAGTAATCTCAAGAGTCACATTTTCATTTGTATTAGCATTACATAACTTTTTGTGGATATTGTTTATTTTCAGTGGAGAAATGCAGCAGATGGAAAACGAAATACTTCAATGGATTGGGCTTATAATTCCACTTCAAAGGCTAGACAGGATGCAGATGAGATAGCCGACAGAGAAAGAAAAACGTTGAGTTACGACGACGATGTAGATTCAGAGGACGTTAAACAATACGTACGTGAAGCAAAAGAGAGGACAAGGGTTGCTGCAAATAGAGCTGCAGAGGATGCTGATAGTGCTGGAGAGAAAGCAAGAGATTATGCTTATGATGCTAAAGAGAAGACAAAGGATGCAGTAAATAGGGCTGCAGAGAATGCTGAAAGTGCTGGAGAGAAAACAAGAGAGTATGCTTATGATGCAAAAGAGAAGACAAAGGATGCTGCTAATAAGGCTGCAGAGAATATTGAAAGTGCTGGAGAGAAAACAAGAGACTATGCTTATGATGCCAAAGAGAGAACCAAGGAAGCAGCAGAGAGTGCCGGAGAGAAGGTAAAAGATTATGCTTATGATGCTAAGGAAAGAACCAAGGAAGCAGCACAGAATGCTGGAGAGACTGCAAGAGACTATGCTTATGGTGCAAAAGAGAGAACAAAGGAAGTAGCACAAAGTGCTGGAGAGACTGCTAGAGATTATGCTTATGATGCAACAGATAAAACCAAAGAAGCAGTGGGTACTGTAGCAGATAAGACAAAGGAAGGGGCTAAGAAAACGGCGGAGATGACAAAGGAAGGGGCTAAGAAAACGGCGGAGATGACAAAGGAAGGGGCTGAGAAAACGGCAGAGACGACGGGAGAGGTTGCTGGGGCGGCGACTGAGGTTCTGAAGAGTGCAGGAGAGATGGCGAAGCGGACGGCGCAAGGTGCATGGGAGACGGCTAAGGATGCGACACAGAAGATTAAGGAGACGGTGGTTGGGAAGGATGATGACGATGATGATCGTGGTGGTGGTGTTGGTGCTGTTGTAGATGAGTATGATCTTGAATTGAAGAGGAAGGGTTATGGTGACAATAAAGGTTATGATCAGAGGAAGGGTTATGGTGACAATAAAGGTTATGATAAGAGTAGGGGTTATTGAAACGGAGAATTAAGAGTCTAAATAATTGGTATAAATACTATGATATGGTATATATATGTATGTATCTTAACTTTGTATGTTTAATAATACAAAAATAAAATATTAATCTACTTTCCTGGTATTCGAAGTAAACGTGTTTAAGAAAAGATAGAAATACTATTGGAGATATACGGTCAAACAACAACCAAATGTCAGTTAATTGGGAAAAAAATGCTTTTAAAAGAAAAACATCAGGCCAAAATAATCCATGATTGTTATTTCATTTTTTAATATATAATAATAATAATAATAATAATAATTTTTTCAATTATTTATTTTTTATTCTCTATACTATTTTTAATATATTATTAGAATTAATTTATAAAAATCTATATATTATTAAGACAAAATCATTACATTCTTTAGAAACCATAAAAGAAGTGTTATCAAATATAAATAAAACAAAATATGTATTGGTTTAAATTTTGAGCTGTTCTAGTCCTAGCCAGCATATTCTATGAAGTATAGACTCAGGTACCTAACACCTGTGCTTCTTATAAAGTTTAGAGGGACCCATACCAAAGAAAAAAAATGTAAACACCTGTAATGTTACACCTGTGCTTCATTTTAAGTTTAGAGGGACCAAACTAGATTTTGGTAGATTTGATAAAAATCTGTTTGCTCGGATATGTTTATGTTTGTGTGACTTTCACTTTCAATTAAGTGACCATCAATTAATCGTATTTCACTACAAAAAATTTGTTTAGGGTTAAACTCTTCACTAGTGCAAAAAATCTTTTGTTCAGGTCATTGTAAATTATCTCGCAAAATAAAAATTGTTTAGGTTATTCATTTGAGGCTAAACTTTTCGTAAAATTTAATCTCTAAAATTTTCAATTTAATTTCTAAATTTTTTAATACAGACACATAGGCATAGATGTAAGTTAGACGATACAATTGTTGTTAGTATTTTATTAGGGGTTAAACTCCCGAATTCACATTTTGATACAATTGTTGTTAGTATTTTTATTAGGGGGTTAAACTCCTGAATTCACATTTTGATATAATATGAGGCAAAATGGTTAATTATTTCTTTTTTTTATAAGAAATATTTCACTTTTATAAATTTATTAAATAATTAATGTATTTCGTTTATAATTAAGATCATATATTTAATGAATTTAAAAAAATAAAATTTATCTTATAAAAATGAAATTTATCTTATAAAAAAGACTAGAGGAAGTATTTCTTTACATGTTACTCCAATTAATATTATAATATTTTATAAAAAAATATTATAATTATATTATTATAAATATAATAATAATAAAATAGTATTAATATAATAAATATATAATTTTAAATTTTATAAAAAATAAAATTTAAACAGAATATAAATAAAATTATAAAAATAAATAATCTATATAATATATTAAATATAAACCGCAGATCATATCATAACACATGTTAACTTTTCTAATTCATTCGTGATATATTGTTCTATGTGACATCTCTTTAAATTCATTTTTAAAAAATCAAATGTAAATATGTAATAGTTATTTTCTATTAAACGTTATGATTTCAACTTCTTACAAAGAAAAAAAATATATTTATTAGATTTCATTAAAAAGTGAGATTTTAGTCAAATCTTTACGTTAATTAAATGAAAACATAAATAAAAAATTATTAGTTTTAATTAATTAAAAAAAATTTAAATGAAAATTTAATTAAAAAATAAATAAATTTATCATCTTTCGTGCAACATCAACACTAATGATGTCTACTGCGTAATTACAGCCGTTAACTTCAGATATTTTATTTTTTGTTTTACTTTTTCAGACGTTTCCTTAAAAACATCGAAATTCTAATGAACAATAAGATCTTGAAATATATCTTCACCTATCCAACGAGAACATGATCCTTTTCTTTTCCATGTAAGTCTAACACGCCTAAGCGTGTTAGAAAATCAGGCATCACATTTCGAGTGATTTCTTTTTATAATTTGGTGCTGATCTCTAATATCTCAAGTCCAAACAACATTTCTTCTACTTTATTATATGAATTCAAAAAAATATTAAATAAAATATAATCATGAATATCTCAATAAATATAAAGGTAATTAAAATAAGAATTACTTAAATGAATTAGTTAATTATACTTAAAATAACTCAAACCAAATTTTCTTGTCTTCATCAGAAAGTGCTCCATAAGTTGGCCATATTTTTTTATACATTTTTATAATAACTTTTGTCATGCTCGTTGCTGCAGGATGTGCCAACACAAGACTAAACAACAAATTTCGAGTCAGTATTAAATAAAAAAGCAACTAAAATTTAAAATATAATATAAAACACAAACACTTACGATCCTCCTACAGACTCAATGATAAATCTACCGAGATGTTTCCTAATTGTTTGCAGCGCATTTCTCATCACACACGCCCTCCTTCGCTCCTCATGAGCACAAGTATCTCCATGATCATCCTGCTCCTCATGCGTATAATGTATGGGTGATGAATGTGGCACTCTAGATCCACCTGGCTCTATATATTGCTTAGGCACATATGCTGAATATGGAAAGCTAAGTCCACTAAGCTGTATGGAAGACATAGAAAAACATGTGAAAATATGGGGTGTTAGGTCCACTCGATTGTATGGAGGGCATATGAAAAGATGTGGGATAAAGGGTGCTAAGTTTAACACCCTAAAATCTCGACGCATATTTTTAAAATAAAATCATGCAATAACAAACTATTTCAACAATAAAGTGTCACACCCCTCTCATAAACCATGCTTCTCAAATTTTTTATAATTATATTATCTCCACTGAACGTTTCATACTTCACCAAAATAAATGACTAAATCTCAACATAAGCAAGTAAGTCAATAATTTTCAAAAATACATCAATTAACTAAAGTCCATTATAATGTTACACTATCAGACTGACACTGCAAAAAACTAAAACTTGATAAACATAGAGAAGTAGGCATCTATACTAATCCTTCAAACAAGCAACATCTAATTCTCCTCTATGTGGGTATCTGCTTTATCATCACAATGAGCAACACAACAAAACAAAAGAGGATGAGAAATACGTTCATAATGTTAATGATGTATGTAACAGTCAGGAAAGTTTAATAACAACATTCATAATTTGAATAGTTCACAACGATTAAATAATCATCAATGTAAATGTAATGCAATGTATTTATCCTCTACTTCTCAATGCATATGGTACCAATGTTTGAATGTCAGAATTATGTTACTGAGTTATTCATGTCCCTGATTTCTCTCTGAACCTATTTTCTCTCTAAACCCAAGACCGTCATTAGTTCCTCTCTAAACCATGACCTCACTGGAACGAAGTCTTACCTATCTCCAATATACATGAATGCATGAATCTCTATAATTAACAGTCAAATACATACTTAACAACAATTCCTCTATAAACCTAAAACTTTGTCAATGTAAGGCCAACACTATAGTTCCTCTCTAAACTACTCAACTCAACATATTATATAATTACAACTCAATTTAATATAATTATATAAATATTCACAATTATTCTTCAATAGGATAAACACATTATTACCCTTGTAAGCCCACCAACAGGGTAAGAAAAATAATTATTCACAGGTATAATCTAGCCTTATTCCAACTACTCATCAACACAAATTTGAACATGTCAGATTACTCAAATTAAACTCTAGCAATTCAATAATCTTAAGCTAAATTACTCAACAACTCAGTTTATAACTCTTTTAAGTTGACGACCTTAAACAAGTAATAATATGACTCAAAACAACTCTAAAGAGTCATATACCTTCAACTCCAACTCTAAACATGTCACTGCTTATTCTCCCTAGTTTGTAGCTCGCCAAGTTATCCAGTCATGCCTAATGGGCATGCATAACTTGTTCTTCCCGTGGGAGGACAAATGTTCATGCTCCTTAGTTGGTCGGTGAGGGAAGCTATATTGATCTCCATAGCCTCGTGCTCCCATTGGTCTTGGTGAAGTTCCTGGTAGATCCTTTTGGCTCTCTTGAGATTAGCATTGATTGTTACCAGTTCATCGTGAAGATTGTGAAATTTGAGTTTGAGGTGGACTAGTGAAGCCACTACATCTAACACCATCATAAAATGTTTGTCGAGGACACATATGCAGATGAACTTGCAACGGACCAAAGTAAATTGTGAGTATAAGGTCCTAACGTTTCTTCCCTCCCCACAGACATAGTTAAATCAATGTATCCCCACAAGCGTGTGGTTATACTGTTGAATGCTTGCAATTTGGACCCTTCATATGGATACAAACTTTCTTTCTCGAGGCCCATCTTTTCAAACAACTATGAATAAATTATATCATATGAGATGCCTCCATTAATAAGTATTCATGATACATTAAAGTGACCGATTGTGGCAGTTATGACTAGAGGGAAGATATCATTCGGGGTTCCCATAACTTTCTCACTATTCCGATCTATCTAGGATTTTGGCTGAGGAACTTTCATCTTTCTTATAGACGATCATCATTCCATAATATTCCTCTTCATCGTCCTCTTTGACTGGATGTTCTCTCGGGGCACTCCCTTAGTAATGGTCGCAATATGCTGGCACATACTCTTTCTTGCCCCTTTGTCTTTGATCTTGGTCCTCTCACCACTAGCCATGACATCCACAGTCTTGGATTGGGACTTGTTCTTCAAGACTCTTCCATAACTCTATTTCCGCCTTTGGTATCCTTGGTAAGTGGCCCATCTTTATAAAACCCTTGATGAAGTCTTTTAACTTGATACAATCATTGGTGGTATGGACATGACTCTTGTGAAAGCGATAATGTTTCGTCTCGTTAGTTCTAGAAGATTCTCTGACATGTAAGGGGGGGTTTTTAATCCTGGTCTTCCGGAGTTTCGTATTGGCACATTCTTGGTATATTTTATCTTGGGTAATGTTCAGAGGGGTAAACTTTTCGTACCGGTCACAGGTCCCACGGTCGGATTCTTCCCGTCTTATATTGGAATCTTTCCCGGATGATCGACAAGAACCTTTATCTGCCACTGCATGGTTGCCAATCTGGGGGTTAAGTTTTTCCTCCAGGTTAATAAAGGGTTGCAATTTATTCAATAACTCTTTCACACTACGGGTATCCTTGCACCCTAATTTCCCCCGGAAGGAGCTATTTTTCCTTATTCTATTCTCAAAGATCTAGCACTTGAGGCCCTCTTCATCTCCTTCTACTTCTACATCTACTTGTGTGAAATAATCAATGTACAACCGCAAGCTTTGTTTCTTTCCCTGTGTTATCCCATTGAGGAAAACTATTGTAACCGATTTCTTTTTCGAGTTATGAAATGAGAGGTGGGTATCTCATAAAAATTGGTCCATAAATCAATGCTCCCGTCTGGTAGAGCTTTGAACTAGAGTTTGGCAGATCCTTAGAATGTTAGTGCAAGTAGTTTGCATTTTACTGCCTCATCAGTGTACGAGTATTTCAAAGGACCAGGAACGTGTTGTACATGCTCTCCAGGATCTCCCTTTCAGTCGTACTCCTTTAGTTTTGGAGGTTTTTCCAGCGACTTTAGTAATTGATTGTCTAGGATAGAGGCACAAAGAGGATGTTTCAGCAGACTTTTCACTAGTGGTTTCTCTACTTATTCCTAGGGAGGAACATGACTACCTCAACATTCTCCAAGAATTTGAGGGGAGTTTGATTTCTCTTTCTATTTTGATGATCTAGAGATTTTAGAGCCGCATCTCTTCGTGATGCAGCCATCTTGGGGATGATAGTTTGGTTTCTCTTGTAAGTGACTTCCTGCATTGTGTTCTCCTTTGGATTCATGTTGTGCAATCTTTCTTCCAGAAGAAGCAATCTTTCTTCTGTCGCTTGCAAGTTTACTTTTCCGAACTATATTATACATATTGTTCAATAACTCATTTGTGCTTTGTATTCTGTGGCTAGTGAAATTCTGACACTTGCAATACAGATGTCAAGATTGATGTTTGAATATAACACACAATGCTAGCATATATGTTATAACATCATCTACATGATACAACAATTTACAGAAGATGAATTATACAGGAAAAATAAATTGCTGAAGATAAAAAAACACAATAAATTGTTAACCTAGTTCAGTGCAATGTCACCTACTCTGGGGGCTACCAAGCCAGGAAGGAAATTCACTATAATAGTATTAGTTCAAAGCCTAGACAATCTCGGTTTACAACTTATCACATAATGACTACCCTATGCAATTTTTACCTAGGAACCTCCTAGATGCGAGAACCCCCTCTCACTTCCCACAATCACCTCAGTGATAAACACTGTCAAAGGTATGAAAATATTTGGCTGTAGGTTTCCTCCCTTTCTATAAATCATAGAGAGTAGTTGAAGTACCTCATATCAAGGTGACCCTATTATTAATGTGTGATACGGTGGGAGAACTGACTTGGTTTTGCGTTTGTATTCGCAAATGTTTCGGTTGAGCAAGAGTCGCCACCGACTTTTATTTTTATCCTAAGGAAAGGTTAAAAAGCACAGTAAAAACCTTTGAGATGTTTTATTGGGTTCGGGGAGTAGATTATAGAAAGGGAAGGTATTAGCACCCTTTCTATCCATGGTTATCCATGGGCTCTTAGTTACTTGCTTAGATCAACTTGCCTTATTTTTCAATTGTTTTGAAATGGTGCTTTGTGTGTGTGAATTTGAAAATGTTTTGAAAAGAGGCCAATGTGGTGGCAACCTTTGTAATGATCCATGTTGGGATGTATACAAAGGTGTATGTCTTTTGAAAAGGTTTTCATTTGTTTTTGAAAGTTTGTTTTGAAAGTGTTGTGAGGTGTGGTTTAAAAATAGGCAAGTGTTTTGCAAGTTTGATTCAAGTAACTAAGAGGTTGTCTACTCCTAAATTTCTCAAAGATCTTTGCTATGTTTTAAACCTTTTAACAACTTTGTTCCACCATTGCATTTGGTGGACAATCTTGTGTTAGGATGTGAAAGGGACGGGCGCGGGTCATCGTTTAGACCATAATTGCAATGGTGCCAAGTATCTTTGGGCAATTTTTCCTTGAAAGGGACTTGATCATTTTAGGCAACTTTTGAAAGCGTCATCGAGGGACTCTGATCATTTGAATTGTTTTGTTTTGCCCAAAGAGACCTAACATACAATATGGCCCATTTATTGAAGGCAACAAGTGGAATACCCTAGGGGTGCAAGTGTGATTAGTGTTGTCCATTTTCATGCTTGTTTATCTTGAAATTAGGTCAAACTATTTTTGTTGTTTTTGATTCGCATACAAACCCTAATTCTAACATGGTATATTTAGAAAGCAATAAAGTGCGAAAAATAAAGTTACTAAGCTATTACAACACAATATATGGGAAGGGGGGTACAAATGTTCAAATGGGGGTATTTTGACAAGGAATTTAAACCTAGACTATTACATCAATATTGAATTATTTACAAGATATTTAATTGCACAAATTAAATAAAATAAGAATGAATATGCAAGATGCAAAAAAAAATGTTTTTTATGTGTATGAAAAAGAGTATTTTTTATATGTCAAATAAACAAAATAAAAGGTATTAATTTTTGGATTTTTTATGTT